GGTCAGGATTGGGGGTCCGGGGCGGGTCAGGTGCAGAGGAGGGGTGGAGGTGCGATGGGGGGGTGATGAGGGTGTCACCCCCTCCCCGTGGGTGTCACAGACATTGAGGGCAGGGTGCGAGGGGCACGGGCAGGGTGGGGGGCTCACCCTGGGCAGAGCGGGGTTACAGATCCACACAGCGGGGGCCGGCATGGAGGGAGGGTCAGGGGCATGATTTGGGGGTCCTGAGGCAGATTTGGGGGAACATGAAAAAGCCCCCCGTTCAGGGACAGCATGGGGGTCCCACGGCAGGACCGGGGGGGCACAACGGCGCCTCCTGCAAGGGACATGAGGAGGGTCCCCACGCGSGGCAGGATGCGCCCGTACCCCCCCGGGGGACCCCCCCGTGTCCCTCTCAGCCAATGCGCGGCAGCGGGGGGGGMTCGGGGGCGGGGCCGCGCCGGGGCCGCTTGTTTTTTGTGAATGAAAGGCGGGGCGGCCGCGACTGCAGCGCGCAGGGCAGCGCGCACCGCTCGGCGCAGCGCGCAGGGCCGCGATCCGCGCACGGCTCCGCGCACGGGCTCCGCGCAGGGCTCCGCGCAGCGCAGCGGGCCGCGGATGCGGAGATCGGGGCGGCCGAGGCGCCGCCATGGGCCCCCGCGGCCCCGGCCCTGAGCCGCGCAGAGCGGCGCCCAGCCGTGCCCAGCCGAGCCGCGCAAACTGCGCCGTGGCCATGTCCGGAGGGGCGAGCCCGGCCCCGGCCCCTGGGAGCCGCCGCTTCGTCTGTGTTGGTGTAAGTACCGGGGGACCCCTCCCCGCCCCCCGCTCTCCGCGCTTCCGCCCCGCGTCCCGCTCCGCCTCCGCGCATCCTGCCCCGCCGCCCGGCCCGGCCCTGCTGCCGGACAGGGGGACAGAGAGGGCCCGGACCCTCCGCCGTGCCCCGCACCCCCGATCCGGGCGGCCSGAGCACCCCCGGAACGCCCCGCACCGGCTCCCGATGCTCTCCAGCCCCTTCTCTGTGTCCCGCAGCCCTCCCGGTGCTTCCCGTGCTTCTCGCAGTGCCCCGCACCCCCGAATCGGTGCTCCCAGCACCCTCAACCTCCTTGCGGTGCCCCGCACCCCCGATTCGGTGCTCCGAGCTCCCCTGAGCCTCCCCGCGATGCCCCGCACCCCCGAATCGGTGCTCCCAGCACCCCCAACCTCCTTACGATGCCCCGCACCCCCGATCGGGTGCTCCGAGCTCCCCTGAGACTCCCCGCGATGCCCCGCACCCCCGATTCGGTGCTCACAGCACCCTCAACCTCCTTGCGGTGCCCCGCACCCCCGATTTGCTCCGAGCTCTCCTTGCCGTGTCCTGCACCCTCGATCTCCCGAGCACCCCCCACCCTCCTCGTGATGCCCCGCACCCTCTCCCGGCGCTTCCCGCCCCCCTTGCGATGCCCCGCACCCCCGATTCGCGTGCTCCGATCACCCCTGAAACCCCCAGACCCACTCCAGACCGTCCCCATTTCCTCTGCGACGCTCCGACCCCTCTCCGATGACCCCGCTGCCCCGATCCGGATGCTCCGAGCACCCCGAGACCCCTCGCAATTCCCCGCACCCCCAGATCCCGCTGCTCCCCTCTCCCTTCCCAAACTCCCGCACCCTCTCCCGGTGCTCCCCCCTCATTCCCGGTCCCGGTACCCCCCTCCCGCCGCATCCCCCGGTCCCGGCCGTGCTGCAGCCCCGCTCGGGGCCCCGTTCTTCCCGCACCGCCTCCCCGCGGCCTCCCCAGCCCCGGCTGCCTCCGCTCCTCGGGGCCGCCCGGGCCCCGCTCCTCCCGCACCCCGCGGTCTCCCCAAATCCCCCCCGTTATTTTTATTGTGCGTCGCTGCCGTTTCGGGGAGGTTTCGCCCCGGTTTTGGGGGGTTCTGCTCCCCGGGCGAGGTGCGGGATGGAGGATTTTGAGCCTGGGAGTTGCTAAGCGACGGCTCCCGGGGTGATGGTGCAGTTGCCTTGGCAACCGCGGGCTGGGAGCCTGCAAGGAGCAATTTTGGGGGGGTCTCCTTGAGGTGGGGGGTGGGTGTGAATTGGGTGCCCGTGGTTTGGGTGGGGGGCTGCGGTGGGCAGGGAGAGCAGTGCCCACCGCAGGCCTCGGGGGCTGCCCCGCTCCCGAGGGAAGAGCCTTTCCTTAGCGAGCTGCARTTCCTCGGCATTTCGGGTTATTTTTACTCTCCAATGGGTTCTGGAGCTGTCCCCAGAAGAGAAGTGATGGTGAGGAGGGTGGGGAGGGGGCTTGGAAAGGTTCAGCCCCTCCAGGGATGGTTGAGGGGCTGTGACTCCTCATCTGTAGGGCCAGCAGAGCTCCCCGATGTGCTTCTCCTTTATCCAGAGCCCCTTTTTGTCCCCGCTGCTGTCCCCCTCCCTCTCCTCACCGCGGGCTCTGATCCCACAGGGATTTAGCCCTTAATTCCCATGAGGCACCGGACTTTCCGAGCCCAGAGCTCCGGAGGGGGGGTGGGCTGAGCTGAGCTCCCCAGGAGGGACAAACATCCCAAGCGCCAAGCGCAGCTGTCATTCCCCGCTCCTTCCCCTCCACCCGAGCGAGCTCGGCCGAGTCGAGCCTAAAAATAACCACAGCCSAGCTCCCTGAGCGCTCACACCCCCCATCCTGGAGATCTCCCGGTCCTACAGAGCCCAGCCGATCCCCGGGAGGAGCAGGAAAATCGGGGTGGCAGCAGAGGGGGATGCCCGAGGTGGAAACGGATTTTAGGGGGGCTAACAGGGAAAAAGCACGCTTTCTCAACCTCAATTTTTGCAAGGAGGCTGCTGCTCCYGCTTTCCAGCGCCTTTTGGGATGAATTCCCCGCATCCCCGAGGATGGAGGGGGCGTGGAATGCGGTGAAAACCACTCGGAGAAGTTTTACCTTGGGACCAGSCCGGTGTGGGGCCCGAAGCCACCTGGGTTGGTGGCACCTGCCCGTGCCACCCCCTGCCCACGGCATCCAGGTGTGCCCGGGGTGGCTGCGTGCCCGGGGAGGTGCTCACATTGGGAAGTCCTTGCCAGGCTGCCGGTTTGGGGAGCTGTGGTCCCACGTGCGGGGCTCGGTTGCCATCGTTACCGGGTATTTTCGCTCGCTGCGCTGGTGGTTTATTATAGCAGCAAGGGAGCGGCAAAGGGGGAGCAGATCCGTGGCCTTGGGAAGTTCGGAGAAATTTGGGTTATTTTTTTTTTTGGGGGGGGTTTCACCGTCCCTCAGCTTCCTCACTGCTTTTCCCGATGGAAACCACACAAATCCCTGGTTGATGCTGCCGTGGGTTAATTCTGGCTGGTTTGAGATGGGTGRCACATCTGGGCACATCTGTCTGCTGCAGCAGCAGTACCCGCAGCACCAATTCCTTGCCAGGAGCTCTCCCAGTTCTGAGCCTCAGGGAAATCTGAGGAGTTTTTTCTTGCTGCTCTTAGCTGGGAGTAAATATCCCCTTGGGAATGGGGTGGGGAAAGGGGGCAGGTCAGTGTTCCCCGCCGGGCAGCAGAGCCTGGCATTGCCCTCAGGCAGCTCTGGAACCTTC